AGAGAGAGAGAGAGAGAGAGAGAAGGACGTACTTTCTTCACAGGTGATCGTTTCCTCCCTCCACTCTCTGACACACACACACACACACAGAGAGAGAGAGAGAGAGAGAGAGAGAGAGAGAAGGACGTACTTTCTTCACAGGTGATCGTTTCCTCCCTCCACTCTCTGACACACACACACACACACAGAGAGAGAGAGAGAGAGAGAGAGAGAGAGAGAAGGACGTACTTTCTTCACAGGTGACCGTTTCCTCCCTCCACTCTCTGACACCGTGTTCTTCTCCAACTTCCCCACTGTGGAAGAACAGAAGAACAACATTGGAATGAAGACATAGTCCTTGAGGCACGGGTAACAATGGTTGGTTTGTTTGTTCGTTTGTTTGTTTGTTTGTTTGTTTGTTTGAGTAAAGAGAAGAACATCAATACAATGATGGTCATTTAGTGCTGGGAAAAAGTAAGACAGACAGACAGACATACAGACAGAAACAAAAGAAGGAAAGTACAGAAGTAGAACCTATCAGTGACATCTTCCAACCACCCACACAGACAGACAGAAATAACAGAGGGAAAATAAAGAAGTGACACCCTCCAACCACCCACACAGACAGACTAAAACAACAGAGTGGAAAGTAAAGAAGTAGGACCTACCAGTGACATTCTCCAACCACCCACATAGACAGACAGAAATAACAGAGAGAAAATAAAGAAGTATATGACCTACCAGTGACACCTTCCAACCACCCACACAGACAGACAGAAACAACAGAGGGAAAGTACAGAAGTAGAACCTACCAGTGACACCCTCCAACCGCTGGCACGGATAACAAGTAAAAGTGTACAATACATTATCTTACAACTACAATTACCGTCATAATTGAAGAATGGTTTTCCTAAACTGTGTAAGTCAGTTTTGACGAGCGCCTGATTTCACCACGAGGCTTTTCACAGACATTTGTATTACGTATGTGTGTAGCATTGTGGTGAAATCAGGCGCTCGTCAAAACTGACTTACAGAGTTTTGGAATACCACTCTTTAATTACACCAACAATTGTAGATACTATTGCAAGTACATTCAGTAAAAAGTATTCATAAAGTCACTATTTTAATAATTCCCTCTACAGAATTATTATTACACAACAAATCTTCACAATTACCATGCATCTACCAACACTGTTTTAGAGGCAAGACTCGCACATTTAACGTCCGTCTCCGATAGGACCGAGCCAAATAAATTGAAACCCTTGAAAACTGCACAAAAGAACTCAGGGTCAAGAAGGCCCAGTCTGGGATTCGAACCAGGGTAATCCACTCTGTAGTCTAGCATGATACTAGCTGAGCTAACAGCCAAAACTGTGTCGTTTATGGCGTAAAACATTCTTTGAAATAATTCACAATACAATATTTACCAAAGAACTCCTGGCAAGTCTTTGCAGTAACAATGACAAAACTGTGTTAATTAGGCTGTAAAATGGTATGGGTTTAACGCCCCTATCAACACTGTTAGGTTATTTAAGGGGCGGGACCTCCTAGTTTAACGTCCGTCTCCGATAGGACCGAGCCAAGTGGGAAGTTCGTGTAAAGTGTCTTTCCCAAGGACACAACGTCGGACCGAGCTGAGGCTCGAACCCCCGAACCCGCAATCTCACGATTACGAGTCCGGTAGCCTAACCACTGGGCTACCGACGCCAGGCTGTAAAACAGTAGTTTTCCAATAGTAGTGTTAATAGAAAAACTCTTTGATAAGTCCAAACTTTGTGTGGACGTGGGTGGAAAGCACTAGTTCTACAATGCCAATGTTGACCTAAAAACTCCTGACAGGTTCAAACTGTATCACTTAGGCTGTAAAACACTCATTTTTACAATTACAATACTTACTAAGAACTCCTGACAGGTTATGTTTGTTTGTTTGATTGGGTTTTTTTAGGGGGGTTGGTTTGTCTTTTTTAAACAGTAGTAGCCAAGTCCAGACTGTGTCGTAAAACATTTTTAAAAAATGTATAACAACCACATTGCTTAGTTAAAGACTCCTAACAGTTTATGACAATGTCCATGTCCAAACTGTGTTAATTAGGGTGTAAAACACGAATTTAATAATGGCACTGTTTACCTAAAAACTCTTGACACTTTTTGCCAATATTCATGTCCACACTGTGTTGATTAGGCAGTAAAACCTTTTTTTAGTTTTACAATTAAAATATTTACCTAAGAAATCCTGCCGGACCCAAACCGTGTCAATTAGGATGTGCAACATTTTTTTTTCAAAAACTGTACAGTTGCAATGTTTACCTAAGAACTCTTGACAGTAGTAGCCATACCCAGCCTGTCTCGATTCGGCCGTAAAACGTTTTTTAAAATGTATAATTAATTACAATATTCACCTAAGAAATCCTGACAGTTTTTGACTGTCGCCATATCCAGACGAACGCTGAACGTGAAGAGCCCTCCTCTAGCAGACGACAGTTTTCCGCCAAAAAGACTCATCATCAACGTCTGCAGCTCTCCGCTCGTCTGCAGACGACAGAGGTCAAGGACAGAGATGAGGCGAGGACAGCGCATGCGCAGTAACACACTTCCTGTCGTTACGCGCGTCACCGCTCGCCCATGACGACACAGCTGGCGTAATGAACGCGCCACTTCCAGAGACTCCATGATGACGTCATTGGTGTGACGTAGTTCCTCCTTCCAGTTCTGACGTGTGTGGAAATCGGACGACAGCCGTCTGAGGACGTCAACGGAATATTCAAAGTGAGTGACGTCATATATTTTTGTGTGGTAAATGTTCATATTGTAGAGGTTATAACACAATTGCTTAGTCAACTTCTGCGCTATTGAGAGAAACGAGGAGGGGAAGAAACATTGTTTCAAACCAAAACATTCCTCTTCAGCTACCTCAAAGGGTTTTTTTGTTGTTGTTTTTTTTCTTTATAAAACGTGAGTTTAAAAAACAAACAACAAAAAACAAAACAAAACAAAAAAACGAACCCCCAAGAAAGCAAACAAACAAACAGACAGACAGACAAACAAACAAACAGACAGACAAGCAAACAGACGTTAAGATGACTGTTAGAACAGAGTGGATTGATAACTCACACAACTGACCAGAACATTATATCCTCGGCAGAGGTGAGTATCTATCTCTCTATCCTGGCACAATCCCAATCACACTCACACTCACACTCACTATCACAATCACAATCACAATCACCATCACACGCACAATCACAATCACAATCACAACCACACTCTCAATCTCAATCACAATCACAATCACAATCACACGCACACTCACAATCACAATCACAATCACACTCACACTCACAATCACAATCACAATCACAATCACAATCACAATCACAATCACACGTACACTCACAATCACAATTGACGTAAACATGTCCACGAAGTAGGTATGGATCTGTCTCTTTATAAGGCACACTCACAATCACAATCACACTCACAATCACAATAAATATCATAGTAACAATCACAATCAGAGCTACAATCACATTATTTACAATCATATCTACAATCATAGTTACAATCATGTTTACAATCACACTCACAATCACAAATACAATCTCAATCACAATCACAATCACAATCACAATCACAATCACAATCACAATCACAATCACAGTCACAACCCACCTGAACATGTCCACGGCCGATGTAAGGATCTGTCTCTCTATCCTGGCACACTCACAATCACAATCACACTCACAATCACAATCACAATCACAACCCACCTGAACATGTCCACGGCCGATGTAAGGATCTGTCTCTCTATCCTGGCACACTCACACGTGGGCTCTGGAG